ATGAATATAAAAGCTAATGGACACAGTCAACAAATTGAAGAAATCAAACGTCACGACTGAATAATGTGCAAAAATAACCAATTTAAAGCCACTGTTCGTGCGTCCATGGGTTTGGCGGCATCTCTGTTGGCTTGGTCGGTAGGTTGGACGTCGGCATTGACTGTTTGCGTATTGGCTTCGGGCTTGGTTTGCGCGATACAGTCCAAGACTTTGATAATTTCAATTGACAGTCCATATCTTTAGTTTATTACCAAGGGAAGATATAGAAAACACGGTGTTGCAAACACCAATGGAAATTGTGGTATCTATAGAAAAAAAAATATATATTAGTAATAATTATTAACTAATTAACATGTTGAAGACGAAAAACTAGTCGATAATAAATGTTGTAAAGATTTTAATTTTTCTGCCAAACTGTTGTCGTTATTCTTTTGATATATTTTAAGACATTATTTATTCGTTTAATTTAATATACATCGTTTAATAGGAAATCTCTGCGCTACTTGTCTTTAAAAACCAAACGACTATCGACTTTGAATTTAAATATCTACAAAGTTACAAGTAAAAAATCGATTATTATTGAAAGTTTCTGAGATTCAAACGACAATTTTAAAATGTAATTTTTACTACCAAGATTTTTCCATGTTTGAATTTTCGACAGCAGCTGTACATCATAAACTTCGTCGCCTTAATTAGGTTTGGCCACAAGACGGTAAATAGTCGGTATAGCAAGGCAATGGTATAATTGTTTTAAATTTAATTATAACATTTTACCAGTTGTTAAAATCAACTGCCATTTTAAAATTCTTGTAGTATTCGTATTACAAGCAATTTAGTATTTTTTATCAGCAAGATTGTTATTTAGTGATAACAAAAAGTGATAACGTTGGCGCACGTATCGGTGACGACAACGGTAACGTGTACAGGGGTTACACCTCAAAGAGCCACTCGACACGGAGCCACTCGACAAACAACCATCGAAAATCGACACGGAGCCACTCGACAAGCAGCCACTCGAAGGGGTACCAAAATATACAATATTTATAAAAAATGCACGATTATTATTCGTGTATGTTGTGCGGCTATTATTGTTTATTTAAAGGGGAAAACTTGTACATTTCATAATTAATGCAATAAGGCTTGAACTATTTTTAATTCACTGTGTGACCTGTCTCCTGTTTTGAGTTTTTTTATTTAAGTTATAATCAAATCAGTTTCTATTATTGAAATTTATATTAAAAAAAACTGAAAGTATATGAAACAATATTTACAATATTATATTATAGTGATAATTTACCAACAATAAATTGTCTCTTGAGTTTGTAAAAAAAATGTTTTTCAAAACATCCTTACACGTTTTATAATAAGTAAAGCAGAATGTTCATTGATCAAATTTCAATGAAATTATACTTTTTTTTTTAATTATTTAATACCGATGTATTATACCCATCTATTTAAAACAATACATCGTGAATACCTCATACGAAACTATTCGATACCCGACAATAAAATTAAACACATTTACTTAAATACTTTACAACTTCCAATAGGCAATAACACAATAATAAATTATAGTTAAATATGATTTAATTTTGTATTATATATTTTCATATCTGTGTAATAGTTATCACGTTATATATATGCCGAAAATAATAATTCCGAAAAAATTTAGAACCAAAACATATATTAACCGAAAATATAATAGCCGAAAAATATTTAAGTCGAAAATAATGTCATCAAACGTATTTTAGCTGACACTTATTATTTGAACAGAACCTTATAAGTTATAAATTATAATAGTATACAAAAACACTGTTACGCGTGCCGTGTGACCGCGTTGTGTCTACTGTCTACGCTATTTTTATAACATCTGTGATAAGTTCCATTTGTTATTGAAATATACAGCTATTTTTTATTTTGTGGTTGACATTTTTTTTCCATATATACTATTTATTTCCAATGCTTAATTGTTAGTATTTGTTTATACTTAGCTACACAATAGTAAATTCAAACAGGGACAACCTATGGTAGACTGGCGCCTTGCCGATGCTGAATAAAATGTTTATATATTATTAAGCCGGCAGAAGTTTTTTGGGGTCTAAAATAACCGGTATGGTTCTTTTGGATCTAGATATGATACACTCATCAGACTTATCACTAATGTCCAGCTAATATATAAAATAGATCACTCCAGTTTATGTGTAAACAAGGTCAGATACAAGGGGAAGGCTGGAGTTAATAGTTAATAGTTTATAATACAATCTATATTAAAATAAATATAAACCAAGTCAAACTATAACGAATTTATGAGTAGTAAATTCACATGACTTCTTAAAAACAATCCAAATTAACTCAGGTGCTATAATATAATATACATAATATTATCATTAATTATCATTAATCAAAGATATTATGTATAAATGCACAAACAACAAAAAAGTTCAAATATATTAAACTTATATTTATAAACACAGACTTCCTTATTTCACACTATTATAATATACAAGTTAAAAGTTAGCTATAACTTAAATTTAAGTGACATGTGTATTGGCGTTGTCGATTGCATTATCTAGATGTTTTTATACATGTGCATAGAGTACACAAGGGTTTCACAAAATTATTGATACTTAGTGTGTGATATTATAATTAACGCGAAGTGGGTCTCATACGGTTAAAAAGTTATTAACGAAACGTTAATATTACTAAGTTTACTATGGTCAAGTTTATACAAACTAACGGTTGGTTACCAACTGCGGCCATCCATCACTGATGTTAAATAATTATGAGATTCGAGCTATCAAAAAAAAATATAATGGTTCAACACGTTGGCGGTGGCAGGTACTTAACAAAAGACTGCAAGGAAATAGTTTTTACTAAAAAAATTGATGATTTTACTGTTTTATCTATTTTTAATGTTATAATTATTAAAATTTATTTTATTATTGACCACAATTTAATAAAAAAAAAATTGTTTGGCTTAAGTATTCTAACAGCCTTGACAAAAATGTATTTTCTAAAATGATTATGTACATGTTTATTTTTAAAAGTTATTATCAGCAGTAATAAACATATAATATTAATCATTTGTTGAATAAAAACTAATAGTAAACATATTATGAACACAACGGATTTCATACAAGTTATTTTAATATTAAAGTTAGAAACAATTGTACATTATTAAAGAAAAATACTAAATTAATATAATCAAGTTTATAAAAAATGTTTACTAAATTATTTCCACTTGGCTTATAGTTTTTAAATTTTGAACATAGTTGGAAAAAAAACAAAATATAGTTAGAACATTACAAATAATTATGGTATAAATCTACTTTACCGGGCACCCTTTTTTTCGATTATTTTTTTAAATCGACAGTACTTTAATGTTGATTACGAATATGTAAAAAATTTGCGCCGCTCGCACTTAGTTTGGAAGTTACAGGCTTTTAAAGTTCGCCGAAATCGACATACGTGCGCGCCCGGCACTGCACGTCTACCCGCGCCCGCTGGGTACTTCGTCCGTCGATCGCCGCTCAATTATCATCAGATTCCTCGTCTACCTGCCTCCCGCCCGTCGTGGTCCTTTTTTTTTTTGCATCATAATTTCATCACGCTAATATTTGACTTAATTGGGATTTTGCTATAGCGAACAATGAACAATTTTTGGCTCGCCCGATGCACATTGTTGAGACTTGAGGATGACTTAGTAGTAAATATTAATGTTTTATCGCGCCCGCTAATATTATAAAGTATTACGGGCTATTATAAAGCAATACATGTTAATCATTTGTTATAATTTGGTTATTTATTTATATTTTATGATTCTACATATATTAACACAAAATAAATATATAATGCTGTTTTTCTACAAACTCTGATGAAAATTGTGAGGGACACACACACATACATTCATTTATATATATATATAGATAATAAAAATAGAAATAATTAATCAGATAAAAAAATCAAATTTATATAGATGGCCTATAGCATAAGCCAAATGGGTGGAAAATATACACATTTGCCAATTAGCTAAAAATGTACTTTTTTTGGATTTTTATATCGGTATTTATCTAATTCTAACCCTCTGCTTCTGAGTTTTTAATAATTAGTTCTAAGTCAATAAAAAGTAAAAACCTTTATCAAATACTTTTTAGTTGTATATATAATATATACATGGATCGTTCATTTCGATACTCATGAAAATGCACACAAATTAAACAATGTTCAATAACTTCATTTGTTTTATATTTAAAATATATTTGTAATTTAATTGGAATACATGAAAGCAAGTTAAAATATTATTCAATTAATATCGTTGCAATATACATCATTTTTTTACCTATGTATTATATTAATAAATAAGTATCAATAATATAAAAATGTATAATTATTTATAATAATAGAGTAAAAGTATTTAGAAACAATAATTATTATTAATAGCATGAGTTAACAATAAATCCTGTTGAGTAAATTGAAATGTTTACAATGAACATAGTAACAATGTCTACTATACAATAGGGGTTTTAATAAAAATATAATATTTTCTACAAAGTTACTGTTTTTATTTTTATTGATATACAATTTGGAAATTACATTTTTTGCTATTACTCCGTTATAATATGTGGTGTCGGCCGCACAACATACACAAATAATAATCGTACATTTTACATAAATATTGTACATGTTGGTATCTCTTCGGGTGGCTGTTTGTCGAGTGGCTCCGTGTCGATTTTCGGTGGCTGTTTGTCGAGTGGCTCCTTGTCGAGTGGCTCCGTGTCGTGCTCCCTGTACAGGGCAGTTCTTCCAAAAAATGATAAGAGATAAGAGTTCTTCCAAAAGATAACACAATTTTTATTTTATCAGCGTGACCAACCCAGAAATACCAAAATATAAAATCACATTCTATCAGTCTGCCAATTCTATTAGAATAAAAGTAACTAAAATATAACTAACGTTTATCAGAGTTAACTGTTATCTTTAGAACTAAACGGCAATAATTCAAATGATAAAAAAAAATAACCGTGTTAAAATATATTATATTTTCTTAAATAGTACACATTTTTACGATACATTTATAATGACAAAAAACCAACTAGTTCATATGACGACAACGATAATTATTGGTAAATAAAATTTACTTTCGTTTCTTATTAATATTAAATGATTATTTTTATTAGAATTCTTTTTTAATTCATAATTCAAAACTCTTATTTTCACATAATATAAACTTGCAATATTTAATATGAATTACATAATATATTTATCAATTATAGTACCTAGCGACAAAGTTCATACATACACTATATTGTACTAATTTGTGTGACAATATTATTACATCCTATTTAAATAAAACTATTAATACAAGTAAATTATGTTTTACAGTATGATGGTAGTTGTCTGAAGTCATAAAAAGCTTATCGGTATGCTTATTCATTAGAGCGGTTCGATTCCTGAAACTATCTCTAGTCTGATTAAGTGTGGTAACAGGTATGGAGTTATTTTTTGTAAAATTGTTTTAATTGATTTAATCTCTATTATTTTAATAATTACATTTCAACTTTTAACTTATTTATTAATAATATATCTTTCAGTTTAAGATGAGTCAAAGATTCTGGTTGAACAGTTCTCCTTCGACACTAACTGGAAGAAATAATTGTTTTATCATTTGTCTAAATAGACTAGGTAAGGAAAACATTCTAGATTTGTAGTATTAATACAAATATTGATACAAAATTAGTTTAATATCAATCTAAAACACCCTAATATAGGGTATTTAAAAAAAAAGAAATCAAATGTAAATTATCTTTCTTTTTAATAATTTAATTTACTATTTTCTAACATTATTAGTTTTTGTACAAGAAAAATTGCATTTACTTGTAGATCTTACGTTTCATTGGTATGAGATAACAAACTAGGTCCACTTGATATATACCGGTCACAAATATAGTCTATTCATGAAATCACTCTTCCAAGTGTTATTGATAGATAATTTAAGTTGAATGGTATAAAAAAATGTCATTATCAATTTTCGTTATATTTAATTTTAACTTCACAATTAACAAACGTTAACATTAGTAATTCATTTTAAATTGGTTTTATATTATAATTATTATTAATATTATTTAACCATTTGTTGTTTTTTCAGCTAGAATGTAACCAGAGGAAGATTAAATGGACATATCATATATTTCTCCATGGACACTGTAATCCATGACGGATTTTTGACACTATATTTGAATATTTGTTGTTGAAGTTAATTGGATTTTGTGCAAAACCCCTGGAAGAATATTCTGTATCAGACTAACAGTATAAACGCCACCCAGTATTTCTGTTTACCTGCTGTTAAACATCGTAGTATCATCTCCAATCTCTTTATATTTTGTTTAATTTTATTTAAAAAAGTCGCATTATAATTTATTATTAATCAACTGTAATTCAGTTGTTTATTTATTGAATAACTTATTATCCTGTCTTCAACGTCCATATAAACTGTACTGTATTTATGACCACTACACTGATATCTCATTTGGCTAAATATTTTTAATTTTCAACTACATTAAAACAAAATTAAGATTGTTTAAATTTTTTTTTTTTTTTTTAATACTTGTATTATTGTTTGAATATTTTTACACTTTAAGTGTCAATACAAGTATCTTTAGTTTAACGATACTAACAGTATATTACTATTACAATTTTGACAAACTTAATTATTAGCCTACCAAATAAATTATAAATGTAGCTTCTGTATTTGCTTATTTATTAATATTTACTTACCTTAATAACATTAAAATATTAATTTATTGTAAAAATATCTTGACCTAACTGAAAGATTGAAAATTTGTAAACTGTTGTGAAATTATGTTGATGTTGTTAGGAAAAATTGTGTAGTCAAAATTTTGAATACCTAGATTAAAAAAAAAAAACGGTACAATTTTTTTTTGCTAAACCAAGTAATTATACATTTGTAAATTTTGATGTTTAGTTTATAATATATACATTTTTAGTTAAAAAATATCTTTACTTAAGTATCATTTTATACTATTTATACTTTTTACCAGATTATTTTATGTGTTTTAAACTATTACATTTATTATTTCTATTATTACTATTTATTATTTATTTAAATGACTTATCTAACTTTATGAATTGTACTTTATAAATTATAAAATTGGTCTGAAATGTATACTGTGTTACTATAGGTAGCCTGATAGACAGGAAGTCTATATTGTTTTTTAGAAATAAAAGTTGTTTTTTCTTGGTTAGCTTAATTATATAGTGTGATTGACTAATTTTCTCTCATAATAATTTCAATTAGGTAAAATTATTTTTCAAAACATTTTTGTTTGTGTTATTTTACAACTGAAAACATGTTTTAATAACCACTTACTTTTTTGATAATTTTTAATTAAATAATATTTAATTATGATAAAAAAACAAAGCGTACTTAGTATATAGTATATATTTGTTTATAATTTTATTATTTAGAAATGCATTAGTTTTTAGATGTAGTTTTTGACACAATAAAGTAAAAGTAAACCAAATGTATTTTTTCTAAATCTGTTCTCATAGACACGTTTACTCTCGATAACGAGTGATTTGTATCTGTGTATTGTATTAAGTGATATTATATAATACGTTTAAACGAAGGATGTTTAACATATTGAATACTCTCTTTGAGTATACAATGATGTGTTCGATATAAATTGTATTATAAAGTCCAGATACCGTTATCTTTATTTATATGCATAGTATAATGTAGTAAATAATTATAGATTCAACATTTAAATAATAAATTAGCTTTAGTAAGTTTAACCCTTAACAATACCTGCTATTATCTAATAACTATAGATATATATAAATAATGTCTTGATAATAATTGAATAGTTTTATAACATATTCAATATTTTTGATATTTTCATTTTAGTCAGTTATCAATGAATCAAAGTATACAACTATTTTATTTTTAATAGTAACGCAGTTACATCTTATATGAATCATAATTCATGAAACACAAGTTTGTAGCTCTACACAGTTTTGACCTCTAAACTTAAAGTTATCTAGATTAAAATAGTTTTGAATATTGAAAACCATATGTTCAGTTTTATTCAAATTCAACTATAAAAACTCGTAAAACCATGTAAATATGTTTTAATAACTAAATATTATATTACTTCATTATTTGGGATTTAATGATTTTCAAATATTTTTGATAGAGACAGTGATAACGATATTGGTTTATAATGGCTACAGTCTAGTAATTATAACTAGAGCCCTAGTAATTATAATTACCGACTGAAATAATAGATAATAACTACTGAACAATTATTTATTTCCTGTTTTGTGTAAAGGAATGAAGACACATTTGTTAAAACTATTGGGGCACTTACCTGAAAATAATGATAAATTAAATACCTACAACTTTTATACTTTTCATTGTTAACTACAATTTAGTTAAGTACAACTGTTTAACAGTATAAAGTTAGAATTATCTTCTACTAGTTTAATCTAGTATTTCTAACCAAAATTATGGGGGTATAAGATATTCCTAACACAATTATAAATGTTAATTATTAATGTTTTTAAATGTTCACTTAGTTAAAATAGAGTTAACCTGACCGCTTGATATTCATTTTTTTAATTTCTGATTTGACAATTTTATTATATACATATTAGTGGAATTGGAAATAGCCTCATTAGTTTTCACATTAAATATGTCCATAGCTACGTTTATATCATTTAAATTTTCACAACTTCACCAATCTTAAGTAAATATTAACATACTTAAATCAGTCTTATTATAACTTATTAAACTTATTGTGGGCAAAAAGAGCTTTAACAGCAGATCTCGATGAGAACGAGATAAGAGATAAATAAATATGATGAGATGCTGCAACTTGCAATTGTATCTATTTATTTTATAATATGTATTATTTCTATTTTTTTTATAATATAAGAAAAGTATACATTTCTTAATAAATGGAATGTAGGCAGAATTAATAACAGAAAAGTTATAATATCACTTCTATAAGAAACAAATCTAATTGATAATAATTGTATTTCTATAAAGGCAATCGAGGTAAAAGATAATTAGCCAAGTCTTTGCCAGGCTTGTACAAAAATATTTTATTACTTTTCACTAGTATCTTACAGCATCACTTTAGACATTTAATTCTACTTATGTTTGGAAATGTGCAATATCAAAAATTCTTATAAATCTATGGATCTATGAAAATATAATTTTAAAAGATCTAAATGAAATATGGATATACCTAAGTAGGTATTCTAATTTCTAATAGATTTTTATACTATCTGATTATCAGAGTATTAATTAAAATAATTAAAAAAAAGCTTTATGTCAATATTGTCCACCGTAAAACGGCAGGACTTAATCCAAAAATTATTTAACTACAACAGAAAGCAAGTTCCTAGAACAGAAAAATATATATTAAACACGAGGGTACCATACCTAATTTATAAAGGATGGAACAGTTTAATCGTTTGAAGAAGTTTTGCAGTTATTTAATTAAGATCTTTGTACCATACCAAGGGTAGATCAACATTTATGTGATGAGTATTTGATACGCTCGCATTAATGTGTATCAATTGTCATATTATGCGATTTCTGGTGTAATTATTCATAAATTATTAATTTAACTATTCACTAAGTAAATGGCCATATTAAATGAATAAGTACATAGATTAATAAAATATGGGCTATGCAATCTTCTAACAAACAAGGACATTTTCAAATCAAGAGATAATTGTAAATTTGCAAATTTATATTGACCAAAAATTGTATCATATTTTGTGGATATATTTTTTGATTTAATCACATTTCAGTGTTGTTGTATTTGTGGAAAAAGAGTAACAAGACTTACCGCGACGTTTTGCTGGTCGGCTTGTGCGATTCGGGCAAGACCGCTCTCTATTCGCACTTGCTGTTCAACAAGGCCGTCCAGACCTTCACGTCGCAGGTGGAAAACATTGGCGAATTCAAAAACAGCAAGGTACACTAACAATTGAACGTAAACGGACTTATGAGAACGTGATTTAATTGTGACAATTATAATTTTTGTTTTTAGAAATGTTTGCGTGTCGTCGATATTCCTGGACACGAGCGAGCGTTTGGTAAATTTTGGGATGTTTACAAGACGAGCTGTTAAGGGATAATTTTCGTCGTCGATTCGGAAAACGTGCAGACGTCGGTATGCGATGTAGCAGAGTAAGTGTAATACAATTTTTGAGATTTAAATTTCAACTAATCTGTCTTTTGCGTTGCTAGCCTGTTGTACAGAGTGATCACCGACGACACGATTGTTTCGAACAAAAGCAAAATATTAGTCGTTTGTAATAAACAAGACAAACTCATGGCCAAAGGTTCGGAAGTCATCAAGACGTTACTCGAAAAAGAATTGTATAGGCTCTCTATGAAGGGCCAACGCCTTGTGAGATCCCGTGATCAGTATCATCACCTGGAACCGGATGATTCAAGAAACCATTATGTCTTTATTATAACTATAGTTTATAAATGCTATTTATTGAGCTAAAAAGTTCACCATTTTCTTGATTCAAATGGAGAAAAACTGTGTCTTTAGACACAAGCAGTGCCAAACAAATATCTTAAATCCTTTCCCCTAAACTGGGTGGAAGTTTTTTTTCAGTAAAGTTTTACGGCTTAAGGTCTG